CCATCTCCAAGAAAAGGAGGTTCTAGGATAGATTCCCAGAATAGCCACCTAAGGGGATGCTAAGTCTGGTAGTGATTCCACAGCCACCAAAATCTTTCTCTTTTCGACGTTTTCCGGATGCTTGGTTTTGCCGGCAAAAGATACGGCAACTCAGCTTTTGGTGGGACCGGTACAGAAACAGTTCGCTGGAGCTTTCTCCTGGGATGTTCTTTGGGCCTCCCAGTCTAGCCTCCAGCCGTGACATTTCCTTGAGGTCTCCCATCCAAGTATTAACCAGTCCAACTACGCTTAGCTGTGGGACAGCCACCAAGATCAGTTAGGTGCTGCCCTCTGCTGGGCGTTTGCTGACGGTATTTTTAAGAAAAGGCGTTCAACTACTACAACCTTTGGGAAGTCAAAATACGAAGTCTAACTCACATACTGCACAGGGTGGCTCCGTCTCCCAAAATACTCCGTAGCAATTCAGCTCTGGACCCTCCCTTTAGTTCCACCAAGGGCGTGATAATTTGGGGAACAAGGTTAGAAACCTTTTAATGTACCTTCCAAGGGGACTTGGCTGACCCCTAGGCCAGTTGATCCCAATTTTGCTAGGGGAGTTTGGCCATTCTCCCTGATCCTTCCCCAAAATGAGAAGGGGGGGAGGAAAGGGTGAGGACTGTTTGGGGGATCATCAAGTCACCGCAATCTCTCTTTTGCCTGGATTCAGTGAAACAGAAATGGTGTCTGCTGCCAAGACTCCCCGGGAAGACTTTTTAGCCGGCCAGATGCTCAGCCACGCAGACGTGATGGCCTACAGGACCAGAGAGATCTCAGAGACCAGCTTACCTCTTCGGAACGGTCCCGTTTGCGATGGGCGAGCCTTCGTCCCCGGCCTCTACAGCAGCATGGCCGGCTCCCCCATTTCCTACACTAGCTATAACCCGGTGCCCCTTGGTGGGTACCTCTTCTCGGATGAAGAGCTGCGAGAGGCCAGGGTGCCCCTCTCAGAGGTCGCAAGAGGGCACCCTTTCTCAAGGGAGCGGGTGGCACCGTGCAACGTGTCTCGGACCAGCGCCACGGAGTATACCAAGGCCGTGGCCAATATCTCCCCAAGCCTGTGCCACGCCGCCGTCTACTCTCCGAAGGAAGCGGCGGCCGAGGAGATCAAAAGCGACGCCCGCTACAGTGCTGCTACCGGCCCGGAGCCCGCGGCCTCTCTGGCCCCCAACCACGCCTACTTTGCTTGCGATAAGGGAAGCAAGGAAGAAGAGAGGCCCGCTCCCGAAGCCAAGAGGAGCCAGCACTTCGAGCCCACCAACGCGCCGGTGAACCGCAAGGTGGTGACCAGCCCTCAGAGCCCCCAGAAGTCGGACTGCCAGCCCAACTCGCCGACCGAATCCAGCAGCAGCAAGAACGCCTGCATCGGCCAGAGCCCGGCTTCCGCCAAGGGCGCCACCGACCCCAAGGCCTGCAACTGGAAGAAGTACAAGTTCATCGTGCTCAATTCGCTCAACCAGAACGCCAAGGAGGACAGCCCCGAGCCCCCTGAGGCCGGGACGCTCTCCCCGCGGCCTTACGGGCCCTCCCTGGCTTGCCAGCAGTCGCTGGAGCCCGAGAACATGGACGTGCAGTCCCCAACCAAGCTCAGCGTCAGCGGGGAAGACTCAACGATCCCCCAAGCAAGCCGCCTAAACAATCTTCTTAACAGGTAGGGGGGAAAGGAGCTTCTTCCTCATGTCATAGCGGGGTCCAGATTGTAGCTCTGGATTTACTGGTGGTCTCCTATCCAAATGCTCACTAGGTCTGATCTTACTTACCCCTGGGTGTTAAAATATATTATGAGTTAGTGCAGGGTTTCCTGACCTCAGCCACTTTAAGATGTGTGGACTTCAATTCCCAGAATTCCCCAGCCAGCTGGGAGTTGAAGTCCACACATCTTAAAGTGGCTGAGGTTGAGAAATGTTGAATTAGTTTAATCCAAGCACTGCTTGCCACCTAGGTGTCCCCAGAAGTGCTTTTCTTGAGTGCCAATGAAATAACTACTAAACCATGGTTAACTTTCCTGTACTTGTTACCTTATAGATTTGGTTAAATTCACGATAGCTATGGGTAAATCATGAAAAGAAATTCTTCCAGGTTCTGATCGCTCAGTGAATTTCTCATTTGCTGGCAGGGGAGTTGAGATGCAGGCCAGAACCTCCCCTGTTATGCTGTGGTTGTATTCACACAACACCCCTGTCCCCAGGTCAGATAGAGAACGAGCGCCTGTATTCATGCAAGACGCTAAGCTTGGTGACTTTTAGCGTGATGTGTGCACGGCTTAGCAGGCTGTGCGAACTCAGCCCTGTTTGCTGGGTTTAGGATTCGGGGTATGGCGCTGCTTCTAGTAGATGGGTTAATTTGGTGCGCGTGGGAGCGCATAGGTTGAGCAGGACCCCTGCATTGCTCGCCATTGGCCAGCATATGAAAACCGGCAACCAGTTCCTGCAATTCAGGCACCTCTTTTTGCATAAAGTCATTTGTCGTCTGCTCTAAAATCCAGATAAATCCTCTTCCCATGTCAGACCCCAATGCTAAGGTCCAGGATCTCCAGGGTGGTGGGGGCAGGTGTCAAAAAAGTCAAGATGGCGGCACAACCATGAGATCAAAAACTCACCCTTTTTTTATGTGTGCTGCATGTGGGATGCGCCTGCTAAGGTCAAATATAGGAACCATTTGGAAAAAACTAGCTGTTTGGATTTTGGCCGCAGTGTAAAATCTCCCCCCGCCTACTCCATAAGAGGGAGGGTATCCCATTACCGAATTTCAGCACTCTGCCTCCGATCCCGGAATTGGGAGAAAACTAGCCCAGAATGAAATTTCCATGCTGGAAATTCAGAGGACTGGGAACGGGAGAGATTTCCCGCAAGGGAATGGGTAGCAAAGAAGGACGGATTTTACTCACCTTGAGGCTGTCCTTGAATTGTACCGGCATAAGAGGGAAAACACCATTATTGGCAGTTCCAGCCAGATTGTCTTAAGCCTCTCACACCCACGGGCTGCGATCAGGCGAAGGCAAGAAAGATCCGGCCCTTGGTTTGCAAATGCACGCTAAGAGGCAAAGCTGGCCGTTCCTCAGCAGCTGAGAAGTCCGCTCTTTGGCAGTTTGATTAACAGGGATACAGCCCCCACCCCGAACGTTTCTGCCTGAATAAGGCCGTGACCACTGTTTCCACATCCCCCGACCCAATCTCTTTCTCAGCCAAACGGCCTGGCTTCATCCACGGCTTTGCGTTCTTCGGTTTAGGCTTAGTGAGTTGGATTAGGGCAAATGTCGCTTTGCACATCTTGATTTGTGGCTTAGCCCAGCGGTTCTCAACCATTTTAGTCTCGGGACCCCTTTACCTTGTTAAGAAAGTGGAGGACCCCAAAGAGCTTGGGGTAATGTGGGTTATATCTATCGACATTTACTCTATTAGAAATGAAAAGCGAGACACTTAAAAATATTGATATAGTTGACTTTGGGGACCCCCTGAAAGGGCCTTGGGGACCCCCACGGGTCCCCAGACCACACTTTAACAACCGCTGGCTTAGCCAAATGCGACAACTGGGCTGAGCGCTACCTGTGTAACAAACCGTGGTTTAGCTCAGCCGCTGAAGAACAGAAGGGCAATTTCCCATTACTGAATGTTAGCCGGCTTAACCCAGTTTCTTACCGCGTAGGTCACTCGACGGGTCCCCTCAGAGCAGCGAGGACCAGTCCCCGTTGTACCTGCATTCCTCCAAGTGCAGTTCGTGCGGTTCCCGGTCCCCCCAGCATTCGGAAATGTGCCTTCATACCCCTGGATCCAACTTTGGAGAAGAAATAGGGGAAACGCAGTCTGAATACTCCGATTCCAGCTGTGGTGAGTCCAGACAGAGCTTCAGGGGTTTCCTTTGGGGATATTCCCGTGTGTTTAAGGACGCCTCATCTCCTTGCCTCAATATACCGGGCAGGCAGAAACCGATTTCTGCTTGTGGGTAGACTCTGCTGAGTTGGGAAGCTCGTCTTTTGCAGATGGGGTCAGTTTAAGAATTGGGACTTAATTGATGGATTTTTAGATTATGGTGGAAGTAATCCAGTGAGCGTATTAGAAAACCGGATACACTTCAAAATTCTGTCATTTCCCTATGCACTGTTAACGTAGTTATTAAATCCACCCATTGTCCTCATTCACACGTAGCGTGAAACTGTAAGGTCACCAGGTGGGCTGTGTTCTCACAACAGGTCCAGCCATGAAAGGTTTCACCGAGATTAACCTTACTCAAGCTTCACCTGTTGCGTGGATGCAGCTCCTGGGTTTTCACGTGACCTGGTTAAGCAGGTTGTGCGAACATTCAGGACATTTTAGTTCTTCTCGATTATGGCTTCTTTCCGAACGTTGCTCGCGAGACTTTGAAAAAAACCCTGCCCTCTCGTGCGCTTAAACTGCAAAGCTCAGACTGAAGGAAGCAGAGGGGCTTGAAACGTGTAAAACTGGACGCAAAGGCCTTGTCCCTGGCTTGTCCTCCGTTCCTGATTTGGCTCTAGCCGGAGGAGTGTCATGGCCCGTTTCTCTGGGGGCGAGGGCCTTTCCGTCCTTCGGTTGGATCACATGGTGCTGTACAAACATTTTCTGCATTCACACAACGCGCCTCGCTGGGTTCGTGACTTAGCCCCTTTCCTGCATGGGGACATCCATGAGCTGGGGACGCCCCTCTCCCCCAGCCACCCCGAGCAAGCCAGGGTTAACCAAGATTGATCTCCCGGCTGCGGTGCAGACCTTGGCGGGGGCGAACCTTGGCTTGCTCCGAGGCGGCTTGGCGGGGGCGAACCCGTCCTCGTGCGAGGGTGGCTTGCGTGTGGGGCGAAGCGATTCTCACCCACCTCCCCTCTTCCTCTCTCGCTCTCCGACAGAAAACAGGTCCTTTTTCTGCAAAGACTGCCAGTGCCCGTTCTCGGAGGAGGCCGCTTTCAAGAAACATTCCCTCCAAACGCACAGTGACAAACCCTACAAGTGTGACCGCTGTCAGGCTTCGTTTCGCTACAAGGGGAACCTGGCCAGTCACAAAACTGTGCACACAGGTACAGCGTCCCCGAGGGCACAGGAGACGGGCCGCCTCCGCCAGGGCTGGCGTGGAGCGTGTCTCTCTGGAGTGGCGCGGAGCGGAGAGAGGGTGGCATGGAGCGCCCCGGCCCAGCTGCTGGGCTGGCTGGGCATGATGGGGATGGCCCTTCACCCAGTTGGCAGAGGCGTGGCAGGGAAGGGCCAGTCGTTAGAACTCTTAGTTTTAATTCTGTGGGCATGGGGTGCTCGCCCCAGGAAGGACCCAGTCTGGACTAGGTGGAGTCAGAGAGCTGCAGGTGAATGTGAGGAAGCTCCCGCGGCCGGCGCGGCCTCTCCATCTTTAAAACGTTGGCGTGCCGCTTGGGGCTCTGACATCCTGGGCAGCGGAACTCCAACATCAGCCTGGGAATACGGGCAAAAGCAGCATCCCACGGTCAGGCTGCCAACTCCGCTCCTTTGGCACCCGCGGCAGGCGGCCTCGCACCTGCCAGAAAGGGGCAGAGTTTGCATCCGCAGCCTCGGTCAGGCCCAGGGTTTGGGCGCTGGATGCCTCCACGGCGGAGGAAGGGCTGCCGTGCCCATCCCTCGGTTCCCGCAAATCTGTATCGGGTGGGGAGATACGGGAGAATTCGGCTCCTTCCATGAAAACAGCCCGGAGCGTTGGGACCTTTCCGGGGGGAGCCGAGCTGCGTGTTTTGTAGAGCACTCTGTGATCTGCGGCCACCAAAGACCCCCAAACATCCCCTTTGTTGGGTTGAAAGGAGGAGAACTGAGTCAGGAACTGGCCTGTCGAAACGTTTGCCACGTGGCTGGGAGTCCGTAGCCCGTTCCTGGGGTATCTCGCTTCTTGATTTCTTCCCAAATGCTCAGCCTGACTTACCCACAGCATCTCCCCCACCTGCGCTGCAGCCACCATCACGTGGGCTCGGGCTGCCATGTGTCGAAAATTATTCGGAAATACAGACCTCTGGGCCCTCCGTTAAAAGAGCCGGCGGTTTTAGCGAGATACCTGGAGCAAGTCAGTCTGGGCATTTAGGAATGACTTAAAAATAAGGCATCACCAGTGTTATTGAGGGTAAGAAATGGCACTTCTGTTCTCGCGTTGCCATTTTTCTTCCAGCATCACAATTCAGGGAAATAACATTTTTTTCACAAGCAGCAGAAGGATCAGGCAAAACACCAAAATGCAAAAAATCCAGCTTGGCATCCTTTAGCAAGAAGAAATGCTGAGGTCTAGAATCTTTAAAAAAAAAAAATGCATTCCACTTAAAATTCTGAGTCTTATACAAGTAGTCCTTGACTTACAACTACAATTGGGACTGGAACTTAACTTTGTTAAGCGATGCGGTTGTTAAATGAGTCACGTGCCAATTTTTTTTTTTTGCCGCAGTCGTTAAGCAAATCATGTGATCATTAAGCGAATCTGGCTTCCCCCATTGATTTTGCTTGTCAGAAGCTTCCTGGGAAGGTCACACATGGCAATCGCGTGTCTCTGGGATGCTACAACTGTCATAGATACATGTTGGTTGCCAAGCGCCTGAATTTTGGTCATGCGACCACAGGGACGCTGCAACAGTCGTAAGTGCAAGGACTGGTTGAAAGTCACTTTTTCAGCACCACTGTATCTTTGAACAGCCGTTAAATGAATGGTCATAAGTCAAGGACTACCTGTATGGGAATATGCTCAACTGAACCCTCATGTTAATCTCTAAGTGTATCCTTCCCCAAGATGGTATATTATAATGTGGACATGTAGGGCTTTAATTCCCAGGACCCCCAGCTAGGAAGACTTTGGAATTCTGGGGGTTGAAGTCTTGGGGAAAGTTCACCATAGATTGCTCCGTTCTTTGGGGATTGGAAGGTTGTGTTATTCCACCAGGATTAGATTGCCTGAACTTTGAAAAAGATTTTATTAAAAGTGAATCCCATGTTGGATCAACCTTTGGTGAACTGTGTAGAGGTTCCAGATGATGAGCAGAACTTTTATTCAAGTGCTAAGCTGTGTGGGTGTGTTTTGTGTGAATAACTTTCACGGTGGCACTAAATAAGCACCGTTCTGTTTGTCAAAACAGGCGAGAAACCGTATCGCTGCGGCATCTGCGGGGCGCAGTTCAACCGTCCGGCCAATCTCAAGACTCACACACGGATCCACTCGGGGGAGAAGCCGTACAAATGTGAAACTTGTGGGGCACGATTCGTGCAGGTTGGTGTCCGTGGTGCCAAAGGTCTTTGACCGACCTGAACAAACCTTTACACTTTTTTTTTAGAGCGGGGCACAGGATTCAACAGCTGCACCTCCACCATCCTGAAATACAGTAGGAGCTGTGGAGGCATCCCCAGGATATGGTCAAAGAAGTCAAGATGGCTACAATGGTGCGATTGAAGCTCTGCCTTTTTTTAATGTGTGCTGCAGGGCTTGGGCTGCCCTGTCCTGGCTACCATCTTGACATTTTGACCACACCCTGGCTAGAAAACCCCAAACCACCAATGAAAGAACCCCCCCCCCCAAATTGTCAAGCACTTTGAGAATGAGGCAGAGAAACACAAAGGCATCTGTTGAGGGCAGGAGGGGCATCAAAGAAGTCAAGTTGGCGACTGTAAAGATGCAGTCAAAGCCCCCTCCCTTTTTAATGTGTTTCACTTTGATTGCAGC